AGCTGTATTTATCTACGATTAGTGGATAAATAAAGACTTACATGAAAAAAATAACTGAAATGCAAATTTCATAAAATCCGCTATCTAGTTATCACATTTCGTTAAGATTCATTTACTAATAAATATTCCGAACTATTCATCTTCTATTAAAAAAAGATTTAAGTTTGCGTCTGGACGTGACGACATATATATATTTCATATATGCAATTTACCTACTAAATTAAGCTTCCCACCTTGAAGCCAAAAACAATGGCGTTTACAGAATTTCAATATCTCCATCCGTTTTCAAGATATAATTCCACGGAATTTCGTCTGAGGCACCTGTATAATAATAACAAGTAATTTAATAATAAACATTAGTATTTATTAACCAGTCTTTAATTTTTAAATAGTTCTCAATTTCATGTTCAGGTAGGTACAGGAATATTTCAGCAGCAATAATTTAAATTTAATCAAAAATAAAGGTTTGTAGGTACCTAGTATTTGTTATCGTGCTTAACACTGCAGTATTCTGTGTAGAACGTTGTTCATATGAATCTTTATAATTTGTTTACATGCTTAGCAATTAGGAACGGACGAATAATCAAAGGGCATTCTCAATTTAATCCTAACCTCAAACTGTGACGACGTGATTATTACACCATTTGATATAACTTATTTACAACAGTAATAAATTCTCCAAACTTTCAACAGCAGTATGTAGTAATAACAATTAAATTATTCTACTTACCTGCAATTGTAACAATAAACACTACCACAAATTCGTACAACGGAATATTTGAGCCGTATGGGGGCAGCACTGTATTGCGTGTGGGGAAGTCCCCACAAGTCCGTGACATGCCTGTCGAAATTACACAGATTTTGAACAAAGTTGTGTGGCCATTTTATGGGAGTTATATTTTAGTGGAAGGGAGGCCACAGAAATGCAGTAAAAACAGGTAAAAAATTGTGTGGACATGTGTATGGCCCCATGATTTGTGAAGGCCCCTTAATTGGGCGCTATGCATGTCCAAGTCCACACAAGCATTGGAAAACCAACGCACACCCACACGATAAAATCAAAAAAATATATTTCTAATGTAACATCTTGATTTCTAGCCGCACTCGGCCTAATTTGCCTCATAAATCCAACTGCGAAAGGTGCACTTCAACCACTTCTGGTCAAGGCAGACTTTACTTTTCCGCGTCCTCTCCATGTTGGTTCGCCTCGTCTTAAGTTTGATGTGGGAGAACAGTTTTGGATAGCATGTCCTGGAGGTAAATTTAACCATGGTCTGGATGTAGATGGTGAATTAGTGACATGTCGAGGTGGAAAAAACATATATGTTCAAAGTCAAAAAAAAAAAATTTAACTACAACACGATATTATGCACATTGGATGACAGAATCAGACCTAAGTTACAGGAAGTTATTAATAATCGACCTGATAATACATGTGAATTTGACTACGCCCAAATTGACGTAGGTTATTCGATAGCAGGCCGTAACTTTGTTTCGGTGCGTACCACTTGTTTTGACACGACAAAATTGAGTCCCGTATACACCAGATATCAATTAACTCCTTGGGCGCGAAAGGGCCAGGTTTCAGGACGTCCAGATATATTTATAACTTCCGAAATTTATAAAGATCTAGAAAATGATATTGACAATGTATATGAAACAATTCATAAGACTCTTAGACAATTGGGTCTTGAATCATTGTCTGCCCCCAAAAACCATTTAACTAAAGGACACTTGGCTCCAAACGGCGATTTTTTTTATAAATTTCAGAGGGACGCAACATTTTTTTATCCGAATACTGCTCCCCAGTTGGAGACATTTAACAATGGAAATTGGGCAAGATTGGAAAATCAAATTGCAGATATTACGAAAAGTAAAGCTATAGAAGATGCAACAGTTTTAACTGGAACATTAAATGTTCTTATTTTGAAAGGAAAAAATGGTGCGACAGAAGTATATTTAGCTCCAGATCCAGATCCAAATAAGAGTAAAATACCGGTTCCAAAGTATTTTTGGAAATTTGTTTTTTATCCTACGAATAAAGTGGGACTTGTCTTTTTTGGAGTCAATAATGACAAGCCAGTCGACGAAACTGATCGAAGCTTCACAGACAACATATGTAAAAAAGACATATTTGCAAGAATAAAAAAGTCCTGGTGGTTAAGGAAAATAAACAATGAAGATCCGTTGTCTGGAATAATATATGCATGTAGTGTTGCCGACATAAAGGATCCGGTAATACATAAGATTGTAACAAATGTACTGACCGAATTTCGTGTCGAAGCTGATGACGTATCGACGGTATTCCAAAAGAGAGAAGAAATATTTTCCTAAAAATATAATAATGATGAAAACATATTAGGGTAAATGTGTACAAGAGTACGCACTTAGTGTAAAACTGTCAACAACTTTTTAATTTTTTTGGATAGACAAATTTTATGATATAGGTTCGTTATATACATGTTTAGAGATCAGATATATTTAATTGTACGCCCCAACACCACTATAGTTTAAGAGTAATTTCAATTTTTGTCAAGATGTGTAAATGCGCACTGTTAGACAGTTCATTGCACAAGAGTGCGCATTTGAACGCTTATGAGTACGCATTACATTTTATGAAAAAAATCTTTATTTCTAAGGTGAAAATAAATAGGGACAAGTGACTACAGACTACACATAAAACGAGAGACCTATTTCTTCGTACTTTAGGGGTCTTGAAAAGACGAGAAAACGTAAAAATAGAGAGTCGGTCGACGGACTTGATTACAACACGCTCAGAAAGTAAAAATAAAAAAAAAATCACCATAACCACCACCACACAACTTGAGAAGCAGTACAAAGTAGTAGAGTTAAATAATTCATTATCGTATGATATGTATCTCCAAGACTATTAGACTACGTATTGCAAGCAATGCTAACTCTTACACAATACCTCGCTACGCACTCTTGTACATTTGTACATAACCTAATGTTTTCAAAGTTAAAAGCTTTTGATGGACAGAAAGTGTAAAACTGTTAGTGTATAACGACACCTTAAAAGTTACAACTAATGAAAATTATTACTGTAAAATAAAAGAACTGGTACGTACCTTACAAAAAACTAAAACTATGAGCGGTAAAAATTACATCCACACAACGTGTGAACATAAAATCGTCCGTACGACCAAACTATAAACTATATTCAGGTCACTTTTGCACCTTTATCTCAGGTTTAGCATTAAATTCTGAATGGTATAACTACATCTTACCCAGATGGCACTAATAACCAGAAATCATCAGTGCGTACTCTTATACATATGCGCACTCTTGTACACATTTACCCTATATCATGTCATGTATATGTAAAATCGAGAAATACAATGTATATACTTCAAAAATATTATGTCTCATTCTAGATGTAACTAATTTCGCCAAAGTTAAACATTAAATGTTTGAAATTTGCTTAATTTTTATTTCCCGAGCATAGTTAGTATGTGGAAGATAAGGTCCATCTGACGAAGAGCTAATTGCATATTTTTTCGAAGATCTCCTGAGTATACCTATTATCTAAATGATAAAGCGCTAACCAAAATTTGTTTGTCTATCCCCAAAAACAATTTAATTTCGTGATTTCAAAATTTTGACAAGTATATCTTACTTAAATTTTATAAAAATCACATACTTCGATACTTATATGGTTTCTGAATCCAAGTTACTCCTTATTTTTTAACTTGGATATCCAGAGTTTCGTAAAAAAAAAATATAAAATTTTACAAATGAACTTATAAATACACTGCAAAATCGAATGTTCTGAACTCTTGCAAACGTTTTGAGGTTACCGTAAAGATAGTACATTGTTAATCAAAGTCTACAGAACAGACCTTTCTTGGCCTTCCAAAAATGTTGTTGGATAAATCCTATCTAAAATGAGCAGAATGAGTCTACATTTGTGATTTTTCATATTTTTTAAAATTACTTCTACAGGGTGATGAGAAAAATTAATAAAGCAATTTATTTTATTGATCAGTAAGAAGGGTTCAACCCACTCTCATAAAAGTCGATGACGTCATCACAAAAAATATGTTATGGAAAAACTCACTTGAAATATAGACATAGCATGTGTCTTAACCAGTTTGCACATGTCTTTATTTTAACTTATATATAGGCGTTATCACAAAAACAAAAAAAAAATCATAAAATCAAGTTTTTAAGTAATATGTATATCTCAGAAACTGGAGATGTTTGATCGTATTTTAGGGGCGAGGGAACTTCTGTATAAATAAGTTTACACCAATGTTTTCCCTAAACTTTGTGGGGCTACCAAATATATGAAATTATAACAAAGTTTTCAATTTAGCAGAAAACTAGCTAACTTCTAAATTAATTTCTAACTGGCCCAATGTAGGACGGCATTTATGCAATTGGTATTATGTACATAAGTGTTATTGCTGAATGAGACATACTAAACAAATTGTTCACTTTTCTATTTTAAGGATGTTACGCGACGATTACTTTTCGCCACGACCAGGAAAACACTTTTCTTTCTACGAAAACTTTATTCACAAAACGGATAATAAATGTATAAAACTTTAATACAAAATGAACGCAATGTAAAACACGACCGTCCGTGTCCGCGAACCAGGGAAGAAGAAGGAACGAGGGTGGTTCCGCCAATGGGGGTGGTACTCTGGTAGCGCCATCTAGCGGCCTCGCGTTACAAGGATAATTTTATTAAAAAAAAATATGAACTTTGCTCTGATATGGTATGTTGCCTCGTTTATTATATTTTTTTGGATCACTTGCATAAACAATTCTAATTCGACTTTACTTTTCTCGAACCTGCCGCACGTGGTAACCCTACTGTTGAGTTAGCCCCTGGAACTCAGTTTTGGATTGCATGCCCTGGTGGTGAATTCTCCGACGATCTTAGTGCAAACGGTGAATTAATGACATGTCAAGGTGGGATTAACATTACTACTAGAACTGGAGAAGTATATGATTACAATAACATTACTTGCACTATGCTTCCCAATCAAAGACCTGAATTATATGAACTTATTCCTACTAACCCTGATATTAGATGCGCCAATTTCTACACACCTATTCAAATAGGGTATATGGTAAACAATCACTTCGTTTCGGTACTTACCACATGTTTTAACCACTTGGTCTTGACTCCCGTATATACTCGACATGAATTAACTCCTTGGGCGCGAAGAGGCAACAATGGAGATCCTCCAGATGTATTTCAATCGTCCGCGTTTTATAATGGAATAGATGTTAACAATTTATATGCCACTAGTACCGATATTATTCATGGTTTGGGTTTTGCTACTTATCCCATTCCCAATAATCCTTTAAATACAGGAGATCTTGCTCCAAACGCCGATTTTTTATATCAGTTTCAAAGAGATGCAACATTTAGTTATCTCAATGTTGCTCCCCAGTGGACAAGATTTAACTCCGGAAATTGGGAGAGATTGGAAAATGGAATTGCACTTTTAACGCAAAGACGTAATAATGGAGTTGCAACAGTTTTAACTGGAACGTTAAATATTCTTACTTTGACCGAGGGGGATTTTACGGAATCAATATATTTACTTCCAGGTGATCAAAAGTTACCTGTTCCAGAATTTTTTTGGAAATTTGTTTTATATCCTACGGTGGCGGAACAATATGTCTTTTTTGGCAGTAATATTCCTGATCGGGCACCAAATTTCATACCAACTATATGTGCACAAGACGCATTGCAAGAAGCACAAACTGCGTGGGGATTAGGAGGGATTGATAATACCGATCCGTCGTTGGGAATCATCTATGCATGTAGGGCCGCCGAGGTAAATCATCCAGTAATAAGACAGATAGTGGATGATGTGATGGCCGAATTTAACCTCGCTCCTCGTAAGCACTGGAAATAACAAATTTAGAGAGTCGAGGCGAAAATAAAAATATACCCTGAATATTTTCCTAAAATTTTAGGAACAAACTCTGTCATTTCATGTATTTTCAGAAATATTTTGTATCTACTGATTGTCAAACTTTCAGATAATAATAAATATTTCAAATGTAATGTAATTTTACTCGAACCTGCTTTTCTATACAATGTATGAAAAATAAATACGGTGTCTTTTTTTATTTGATACAACCCCTTGTGGTCACAGTTTTCGCCCAGTGGCTAATTCTTGCGGTTTTTCCAAGCGGAAATATGCGAATTTTCGATCGACGTTAACACGTGGTGTAAACTTGTTTTATTGTTCGTAAATTCACAGTTCATGTCAGGATTTTAATCGTTAACTGATTCAAACACAATGTAACTAGGAGATTTCATGAGATTTTGTTTATCAAATTATGAATAAGGTTTCTGGATGCTTATACTTAAATGTTACATTATAACACTTCTTAAGTCTTCACACAAGACTGCTAATATTTCATTTACGGCAGTTAAACCAATCTAACGTTGGCCCACTCTGGAAAAAGGACTGTGAAAGTGCAATTTTAGCCTCAGTAAGTTTCTTCAGTTCCGAACCTTACGTAATATTTTTGTCTGCACAAGTTTTATTTCACACCAGATCTTTTTTGTTTTTATAAATCTTTGCTAGTTTTTTTTCATATAAATTGTCTGCTATTCAATCTTAATTTCAGATAAGAATTCTTTGCTGTTTCGAATTTCACAAGAGTGTATGGCGAATTTAAATGTTGTTTATTGCTCCTTTTAAAACTTTGACACTTGTTCAGTTGTAGTTTAATAACAGAGTTATAGAAATTTAACATTTAAATGGAATTGAGGTAAATAACACAGAAACACGTGGCGGAAGCGGAGTGCGCGGTTCTTTGCCGAGCTGGCGGTTGCGCCATCTGCACGAAAGATGCAGGCCTAGAATGAAGTCACTGATAGAATAGAATCACCGTCGTGGTGGGAGAACAGCCACGACCAGGAGCCCCAAACTCCGTCGTGCTACAACGCCCCCTATGGATAATTTTGTTCTCTTGTTGTTACTTTTTCTTTGTTTTTATTAAACTTGTGATTTTTACTTTAAAAAATCAAATAAAATAGTTATTTAGTAAAATAAGTCAAAAAATATCTCTTTAATTCAAATCTAGTTGTTTGAAGAATAAGTGTTTGATCGGTCAGTTTGACATTTGTAACACAAAATTGTTCGTATTTTCGGAGCTTCAACATTGTTTTAATGATTCAAAACAATAAAGTCTGAGAAATTCTGTAAACTTTCAATAACGAAGACTATTTTCGTATGATCGTGGTGCAAAGAAAGTTGAACCACACTACTTGCCAAAATTTCAATGAATTAAATATGTCCGAACAAGAAAAAATTGTATCGAAGATATTTGAAACAAATTATTGATAATTTAAAAAATTGGTCGAAGGTTATTTCCACGGAACTTCCCTCGCTCCTGAAGTACAGCTTAACAAATCCTGCTTTTTGAAAAGTTATACGATACTTAAATAACACTCGAGCTTTTTTGACTTGAGTTTTTCAATTCTTTAAGTTTCCATTCTTTTGTTTTTTCAGTTTTTCGATTTGCATTTTTCCAGTTTTCAAGTTTAATTTTTTTAATTTTTCAATTTTACAACTTTTGAATTCTCCAACATTTATATTTTGCTATTTTTCGACTTAAAATTTCTCTTTTTTTATTTTCTTTATATTTACAATTTTTCAATTTTTTGTTTTCGTTGTTTCTTCATTTTTACGAAATGCAACTCTTCGAGTTTTCACTTTAAAATTTTTCAGTTTTTCGATATTTCAGTTCTCTAGTTCTTCAATTTTTCGTTTCCGTTATTTATTTTCTCTATTTTTTGCAACACTGTAAAAGTTAACAATTATTGCTTTTCAGGTGTTAAAGCCGTTTCATCTGAATATAAACAACAAATTTTCATAATTTTTAAAATTTTAGACTTTTAAATTTAAATCGTAAAAAATTTCGTGTAATATTATACCTGGGTAGAATTTGATATGCTCTATTTTCCGACTGCATTTGTATCAATTCGTCGTTTATTCCAAATTTACCTGTAATCACTAGTTTGTCATTAATTTTGAAATTTTCTCGATTTAAAATGTTAATCTTTCCTTTAAACCATAAATTTTGTCTTCTTTCTGCTGCAATAAATTTTGACAGTACTTTGTTGAACACTCGATTTCTTTTAACTTTAAGTGGTAGACGAAATCTTTTTGTCAAAGTGTACTTTAAAATATAATTTTAAAAATACATAATCATCTCATTATAACGACTAATTTTATCATTCTACAGTATAAGATCATTTTTTTATTCAAATTAGATAAAATAAAAAAGCGCTGATCGTAACTTTTTTTTATACTATTAGCAATGACATTTATGGTCGAAAATGTTAAAAGTCCCAAATCAGTCTTATCTTATCAAAGACTAGCCCCACCCACCCACCCTTTATTTTCTTAAAGGATCTTTCCTTTGCCAGAATCAGTCTTATCTTAGCAGACACTAGCCCCGCCCACCCACCCTCTATTTTCTTGGAAAGTATATCATTTGCTACAGTCAATCTTATCTTAACAAGTACTAGTCCCGCCCACCCCCTCTTCTCATTCAAACGACTAATTTTTTTTTGTTCATTATAAGATCATTTATTTCATTCAAATTGGATAAAATCAATCACTGAAAATGAGACAGGGTGGGTGGGTGGGGCGAATTATGTTCTTCTGACGAGAAGAGTGCAAACTAAAAATAGAATTTAGGATGTAAAAAAAGTAAAAAAAGGGCCCTAATCGTAAATTTTTTTGTTATACTATTAGCTATAACATTTATGATCGAAAATGTTAAAAGTGCCAAAATCAGTCTAATCTTATCAAATATTTGGCCCCGCCCACCCACCCCTTGTTTTTGTCAGAGGATCTGTCTTTTGCCAAAATCAGTCTTATCTTAGCGGATACTAGCCCCGCCCACCCACCCTCTATTTTCTTGCAAAGTAGGTATATCATTTGCTACAATCAATCTTATCTTAACAAGTACTAGTCCCGCCCACCCCCTCTTCTCATTCTAACGACTAATTTTATTTTTGTTCATTATAAGATCATTTATTTCATTCAAATTGGATAAAATCAATCACTGAAAATGAGACAGGGTGGGTGGGCGGGGCTAATTATATTCTTCTGTCGAGTGAGAGTGAAAATTAATAATAGAATCTACGACGTAAAAAAAGTAAAAAAAAAAAGCGCCGATCGAAGTTTTTTTTATAGTATTAGCTATGAAATTTATGGTCGAAAATGTTAAAAGTGCCAAAATCAGTGTTATCTTATCAAATACTAGCCCCCCCCCCCCTTTATTTTCTTAGAGGGTCTGTCATTTGCCAAAATCAGTCTTATCTTAACAGATACTAGCCCCGCCCACCCACCCTCTATTTTCTTGCAAAGTAGGTATATCATTTGCTACAATCAATCTTATCTTAACAAATAGTTCAGTACATATTAGATGATTTATTTCAAGCAAATTGGATAAAATCATTCACTGAAAAGGAGACAGGGTGGGTGGGCGGGGATAATTATATTTTTTGTCAAGTGAGAGTGAAAACTAATAATAGAATCTAGATTGTAAAAAAAGTAAAAAAAAACTAGTCGTAACTTTTTTTGTTATACCTAGTATTTGCTATAAAATTTATGGTCGAAAATGTTAAAAGTGTCGAAATCAGTCTTATCTTTTCAAATACTAGCCCCGCCCACCCACCCTTTATTTTCTTACAGGGTCTGTCATTTGCCAAAATCAGTCTTATCTTAACAAGTACCAGCCCCCCACCACCTCTTCTCATTCTAACGACTAATTTTATTTCTGTTCATTATAAGATCATTTATTTCATTCAGTCTGGATAAAATCAATCATTGAAAAGGAGACAGGGTGGGTGGGCGGGGCTAATAATGTCCTTTGGTCGAGTGAGAGTGAAAACTAATAATAGAATCTAGGATGTAAAAAAGTGGCTTAGTCGTAACTTTCCTTGTTATACTATTAGCTATAAAATTTATGGTCGAAAATGTTAAAGCTGTCAAAAATCAGTCTTATCTTATCAAATACTTGGCCCCGCCCACCCACCCCATTTTTTCCTAGAGGATCTGTCCTTTGTCAAAATCAATCTTTTCTTAGCAGATACTAGCCCCGCCCACCCACCCTCTATTTTCTTGGAAAGTGTATCATTTGCTACAATCAATCTTATCTTAACAAGTACTAGTCCCACCCCCTCTTCTCATTCAAACAACTAATTTTATTTCTGTTCAGTATAAGATTATTCATTTTATTCAAATTGGATAAAATCATTCACTGAAAAGGAGACGGGGTGGGTGGGCGGGGCTAATTATATTCTTCTGTCGAGTGAGAGTGAAAACTAATAATAGAATCTACGACGTAAAAAAAGTAAAAAAAAAGCGCTGGTCGAAGCTTTTTTTATAGTATTGGCTATGAAATTTATGGTCGAAAATGTTAAAAGTGCCAAAATCAGTGTTATGTTATCAAATACTATCCCCGCCCACCCACCCTTTATTTTCTTCTTAGAGTGTCTATCATTTGTCAAAAGTAGTCTTATCGTAGCAAGTATTAGCCCCGCCCACCCCCCTCTTCTCATTCTAACGACTAATTTTATTTCTGTTCAGTATAAGATGATTCAAATTCAGTTCATTCAAATTGGATAAAATCAATCACTGAGAAGGAGACAGGGTGGGTGGGCGGGGCTAATTATGTTCTTCTGTTGACTGGGAGTGAAAATTAATAATAGAATCTAGGATGTAAAAAAAGTGGCCTAGTCGTAACTTTCCTTGTTATACTATTAGCTATAAAATTTATGGTCGAAAATATTAAAGCTGTCAAAATCAGTCTTCTCTTATCAAATACTTTACCCCGCCCACCCACCCCCTTTTTTCCTAGAGGATCTGTTCTTTGCCAAAATCAGTCTTTTCTTAGCAGATACTAGCCCCGCCCACCCACCCTCTGTTTTCTTGGAAAGTATATCATTTGCTACAATCAATCTTATCTTAACAAGTATTAGCCTCCCCCAGCCCCCTCTTCTCATTCTAACGACTACTTTTATTTCTGTTGAGTATAAGTTCATTCGTTTCATTCAAATTGGATAAAATCAATCCCTGAAAAGGAGACAGGGTGGGTGGGCGGGGCTAATTATGTTCTTCTGGCGAGTGAGAGTGAAAACTTATAATAATAGAATTTAGGATTAGCTATAAAACTTATGGTGGTGGAATATGTTAAAAGTGCCAAAATTAGTCTTATCTTATCAAATATTGACCCCGCCCACCCACCCTTTATTTTCTTAGAGGGTCTATCATTTTCCAAAATCACTCTTATCTTAGCAGATACTGACTATTTGTTCTTCTGTAGAATGGGAAGTGAATTAATAGAATTTAGGTTGTAAAACAAGTAAAAGAAGCTCTAATCGTATTTTTTCTGTTGTACTATTTGCCATAAGATATATTTCTTATTTCAGAAGAAAAATGATGAGAAATAAGCTCAACTTTAAACTTAAAACTGTTAATTAATGAGAATTTTATTATCCTATTAAAATTTTCTGCCTTGTTGCCGTTTAGTGCCGTCACCATGGTTGCCACATCAGCAACAAATCTCTTTAAAACATCCCGAATCCTAAAATGACGGTACCAACTTTACGACAGTTATTATGGTAATAAAATGATGTAAAATTGAAGAAATAAGACTCTCATTACGAACATTATTAACAACTACTATACAGGATGTTCATTTTATCTGGTCACGCCTGAATATTTCTGCATAGGCAACCCATTTTACGTTTCATAAACAGCTTTGATTAATTTTTATTTTTAAATAATAATAAATGCATAGCAATAATCAGAATGAAAATTATGATAAATTATTTCTGTCAGCTAAATATCTTCAATTTTCGTTTGCTTTAAAATGTTTTCGAATTCTAAAAAAACAGACATGCAAAAAAAAATTGCAATTTGGACGTCTCAAACTTTCATCGTGTGCGTTATTATTAAAATTAATTAAACTGGAGTGCATTAAAAAAATATTTTTAAAATTGAGATTTTAATTAATAAGGTGACAAATTACAAAAAATATGCACCTGTTTTCGACAAGCAGTTATATAACCTGAAGTATTTTCAGCTGTTTATCGTGGCTTAAAAACGAACAAGGCATTCCAGTGTAATTGTGGTTGCATAACCCGTTGAAGTCAGCTAACCTTATGTAACTAAAATCCCCAACTTGGTACTGGAGTTATTGATGTCTGACGTAGCAACTGTCACTGTCATCTCGCGTGTTCTGTCAGTTGTCGGCAAAAGTAGGCGTTTTTGCCCTCGAATAGTGTTTGTGTGGACAGATTAAAGGGCAACTAAGGTAATTTCGGATATTTTCAAAGTTCCAAAGCTCGAGAAACAATTACAAGTATTCTAACCCAACATCTAAATTATCGATTATTTGTAGGACCATCCGCTATGACGGACTCCAAGTATTTCACAACTACCAAAAAAGGTGAAATATTCGAACTAAAATCAGAACTCAACAATGATAAAAAGGAGAAGAAGAAAGAAGCCGTCAAAAAGGTAAAATTTGCACAATTCGTGTATCAAGGGGTGGTATTCAATTATGCCTTTGATTGAGTCTCGAGTTGAATGAATGTACAATCACAAGTTAAAGAGAAGGCTCCAGTTTCGAATTTTTCATACAAAAGGAAAATATTCTTAACAGTAGTAATTTAATTGCATTTTTAATTGTTGTTAGTTGTATTACTGGTTGCCTAAAAATGGAAAATGGGCATTATTTAGTAGCAAATAATTACATAGGGACCCTAGAATGTATGGAAATGATTAAATATCTTGAGAACCAATTGTACAATCCACACACAGAAATTCTCATTAACTCACTACAAAATTTTATTCAGTTATTAGTTAATTTATGTATTGTTTAATACTAATTGTAATTAATGATTATTATTTGTTATGCAATAGAGTAATTATGTGTCCAACATAAGAGTGTGATCCATTGCAGGTGATCGCCTCGATGACAGTCGGCAAAGACGTCTCAGCTCTATTCCCCGACGTCGTCAACTGCATGCAAACCGACAACCTCGAGCTGAAAAAACTCGTGTACTTGTACCTGATGAACTACGCCAAGTCGCAGCCCGACATGGCCATCATGGCCGTCAACACCTTCGTCAAGGTATGTACATCTCCCCACTCTTTCCTAAGATGAGTTTGCTTATATCGCAACACTCTCTCAATTATATTTTTACTGCAAGGATTTGCCTACATCTCAGCTAGTCAAGGTAAATTCAGTTCTAATTCTCGTAGACTTATTAAATCGGTCACCACGACTGTATTACGGAAGGTGTTTTTTATTGTCTCAAGGACTGCGAGGACCCGAACCCGCTCATCAGGGCGCTGGCCGTGCGGACGATGGGCTGCATCCGGGTGGACAAGATCACCGAGTACTTGTGCGAGCCGCTGAGGAAGTGCCTGAAGGACGAGGACCCGTACGTGCGCAAGACAGCGGCGGTGTGTGTGGCCAAGTTGTATGATATTTCGTCGGGTAGGGGTGGTGTGGGGGTGGTCGAGGAGGTTGTAATTTTTTTTTTCTTGGTTGGTTGTAGGGTTGGTGGAGGATCAGGGGTTTCTGGAGCAGTTGAAGGATTTGTTGAGCGACTCGAATCCGATGGTTGTGGCGAATGCGGTGGCGGCGTTGTCGGAGATCAACGAGAGTAGTCCTACAGGGCAGCCTTTAGTGGGTGAGTTTGGAAAAAAGTTGAGTTGTTGTAGATTTGAGTGCACCAGAAAAATGGCTAAAGTTTGTTTGACCACAAATTTTAAATATTCTGCACTCAATTATTTATTAAGATATTTTATTTTTGTAAAGCGCAATGTACCTTTTTGAAAATTTAAAAGCAGTCTGGGTAGGGTTTTTTACGCTCATTTCAACGGTGTGAAGTTTATTACAATCGGACGTATACTTTTGACAAAAACTTGGGCACAAGTTTATGTGTTTCCCTATGCTGGAATATGCTTTAGCTCACCCTTAAGGATGCCCAGTAGCAGACCGAAAAATGAGCTAAATAGATTTTCATTTTACGGGCGTAATTTCAACTTTGAAAAAAAGATCGACATTTCAATTGATAGATTATGTCTAAATCTCTGGGGAAGACACAATATTTTCTAAAATAAGTGATTGTTTAGTGTTTAATTAATCGTTCATTCTTCGAAGGAATTTGCGTTTTTAGACGAGGAAAGAGCATTTTTCGCTTCAACTTTTATATCAGTGCAAAGACAACATTGAGCTCTATGGGGAAGACCCGGTCATTTTTGTTTAAAATTTATATTTATCAAAATATTTGCTTTTTAAAAAAATACTGAATAATGAAAATAAAGTGAAACTAGGCAACTCTATTTACAAAGATCCGTTTCAATAAATGGTTGAGTTTTACACAGCAGGGAGCCTTGCCGACCGACCTTTTCAGGTAATCAGTTCAGGTACTTTAGGTCATAAAAGTCATAAATACTCTTAGCTGACCAACATTGTTGAAACTCTTTTACAAGTCGATTGCTTTCATTGCTGACATAATTTGATTTAAAAGTATGCGAATTTTTATAATTTTATACATTCTACTAAAATATTTTCTTTCAAATATTTTTTATTAATCTGTCATTTTATATATTAATCAATACACAAAACTGACAAGATTTAGATTCTCATCACTTCACTAACCACTTATTTAGCTGAACAATCATATTTATTTAAATTTAATTTTTTGATACTCTGTTCCGCACCACCTATGAAGCAGAGTATTATAGGCACGTTTTTTACGTGTTATCTCCAGTAAACCTATTCCACTAATACTATTTATTCCTGTGTGTGTTTATACTAGAAGGTCGAAAGATTTATATGAACTGCACATGACGCGAATGCAAATAAAAAATTTTAATTGTACAATTTTTTCTTTACAATTTGTCTAATGGGTTGACTTGTTTAATAACGAGAATCTACTCTCTCCGGAAGTAAGACACATAAATAAAATTTTTCTAGGGCTCTATTATAATATTTTCCCAAAATTTATCATCTCGTTGAATTAAGCATTATTTAAATTGGACATTTTATATATTTCTACGATAGCGTTTTTGTTTATTAAGCCGTCTGGCGATGCCGCTAAAAATGTACAAACCGCATTGTCTTATTGTCAGTTTGGTGTTACTGCAAAATGCTTCAGTTGCCCTTTCTTCATTTTCTATGCAAAGATTTTGGGAGAGTACATGTTGAACTAAATTTGCAGGGATGTAAAATGTTTTTCACAGTACAGTAAGATTAGCCGTGTTAATTGTTCTCTCATTTTGGAAATTTTACCAAAATAACGTTCGGTTAGTCTAAAGGATTTTTCTGCGCACCATTCTGGATTATTGCGTTCGCCAATTGTGTTTTGTTCGATTAAAAAGACATCAACGTTTGAAAGTTTTTTGAGAAATACTTTTTGCGCTGTGACATATCGGGTATTTCAACTGCTTCGTTAGATACATCGTCGCCCGAGAACTTGTATGATCCACAGACCGGAGCGCGCTCAGGCCAATGTCGACTCTATAAGCCTCCAGAAGTTCTGCGGAAAATAGTTCTTATTTAGATACTTTTGGTTACACACGTCTCACATGTTTCACTCGATTTTGACATGCAACTATTTTTTTGTTTAACTAAGAATTAATTCTTTCATTGCGTTTGATACTAACGTCCTAAATTAGCAATACTAGTGGAACAGTAATCATGCAATAGATTTTTTTTGGAAAGTACAGTTATTTTTATGTTTTAGCAGCAATGTGTTCTATTTTCTATTAATTTTTACATATTTTTAGTCACAATTTTGGTAGTTATTTTTCACTTTTATTTTTAGCAATAATATATAGTCCAAACATGAAAAAATAAAAAAAAATAAAAATTGGAAAATCTAAAATTTAGAAATCGAGAAATTGAACATTCGCATAATTGAAAAATCGAAACATCGAAAAGCTGGAAAATCGAAAAATTAAAAAAAATGGAAAATCAGAAATTTAATAAATTACGAAAATTGAACAACTGAAATATGCATAAAAGAACTGAAAATTCGAGAAATCTAAAAATCTAGAATTTTAAAAATTGAAAAATTAAAATATCTAAAAGTTGAAAAATTGCGAAATCGTATCATTGAAACATCGGACAATTGAGAAATCGAAAAATACAAAAATGGAGAAATCGAAAATTTGAAGAATGGAAAAATTGAAAATGTCAAAAATTAAAATACTGAAAAATTGAAACATCAAAAGTTAAAAAATCGAAAAACCGAAAAATCTCAATAATGTATTTATAAACCACAAGTTCAGGATTATGCTACTAAAAAATTGATAATGTCATCTCAAAATTTTGCCGAATAAATTTTACTAACAATGTGCAAAATATGATGAGTTTTTACTTGTAATTTATCATTGCATTCATATTTTTTAGATTTGCTTATATACCTAGGTGGCTCAAAAAAATTAATGAATGAGTCAATTTATTCTATTGATTAAATCAGGAACGACTCACTCCATTTTCCCAGAAATTTTTGGAATACTGTTATTTTTAGTCTAATCCACATTGATTTACCTGTCCTTGTAAAATATTGATGATTTCATCACAAAATTGTGTACCTAAAGTAAAAATTTAACTCGAAAATGCTGGATATGTTTCATTGTATTTTAGGTCCGAGGGAAGTTCTGTCGAAACAACTTTCCATCAATTTTTTTTGCTGTTATATTTGAACATAAACAGTTTATTTTATATATTTTTAAAACATTATAAAAAAAATAAAAGTTGGGTTAGACTGAACCTTGTGGGTTTCACAATCTATTTTCCGCAGCATTTTAAACTTTCAACTCAATTTCTTTCAAAATACATACAAATGGATTTCGATGGTTATTTCCCTGTACCCTTCATTTGAAAATAAATAAGCTTATCTGGTGTTGTTTACCGATTTGCATTTTATGATGGACTCTCTCGTGTTTTTGGGTCGGTACCTGCGATAGGTCGGTACTTTGGGTTGCATAGTTAAAAAAATAATTCTTCTCACTGTAATCGATTTTGCGGGCGACGACTGGGGACCCTTAAAATGATGAAGAGTTTATGCATATTATGGTTACCTGGTTTCTTAACAAATTCTATGCTAAACTCGTTTTAGAACTTTAACTCTCTAGTGGGTTAATCTTCTCTTTGTGGGGACGAACCATATATAATAATCCCGGCAGGTCAGGCAAACCATTCGTAGAGGAAAACATGAATTTTGCAGTCAGTCTTATCTAAACAAGTACTAGCCCCGCCCACCATCTTCTTCTCATTCTAAGGACTAATTTTATTTCTATTCTGTATAAGATCATTAATTTCATTCAAATTAGATAAAATCAATCATTGAAAAGGACACAGGGTGGGTGGGCGGGGCTAATTATGTTCTTCATTCGAGTGAGAGTGAAAACTTATAATAATAGAATTGAGGATTTAAAAAAAGTAAAAAAAAGAAAACACCAATCATAACTTTTTTTGTTATATATATTTTATTTTTTGTTTTTTTCTTATTTCTTCTTTAGCTTTTCTGGTATAGATTTTCAGACGGTAAATTATTATTCTTGCAGTAAATTTTGTTTTGCTGTTGCAGCATGTTGGAAACTGTATTCAGCGATAAGTCGAATTTTCCCTAATTTCTTTCTTCATGACTTCCAAAACATTATCAGTGCAAAAATTATTATTCTTTGAATAACTTCTCAAATTACAAAATATTTGCTCTACTAAAATTGCTACTTGGAACGCGTTCTCTGAAGCGTAATGTAAAGCACCAGTTTTATATTCTTTTAATGTCACAAATTTTGCATAATTTTCTTTACAATTCTTCTTAGAAACCAAAGCAACAATACATTTTTTGCAAATTTTGATATTTTATCAAGCTTTTGACAACGTAACCTGTGCAACTGTACAAATAATTTTTTTCTCTCAAAGAAAGTTCTTTTTTCTGCAAATTCCAATTTCTAGGTAAAGCTAAATTTTCTTTTCCTTTAGGAACATCGTTTTCTTTTTTGTTATTATTTTTAATATAACTCAAAAAACCAACTAAAAGTGTTGTTTTGTCGGTTTCGTAACTTAAGTTATTTGAAACGTCCAAATATTGAGAAACTGATAAAAGTTGTAAGTCATATTTAAATTGATGGCCGTAGGGACCGGATGTCTTGACCGAATTTGGGAAAATACATTTTCTAAACAATCTTGAGAAAAGCTCGATGTTAATAAAAATGAATTTTTTTTTTCGTTCAAAAACAAGTTTTGCAAGTGTAAAATTGATGTTGTAGTCAGTATAACACCTGTTTGAATAGGCTTCCAAACTGCTTTTCGAAATTTGTCAGGAACGACTTTTAAGTTTAAAAACAACTTAATGAACTCTTGAAGGAATTCTATAGTTTCCCTATAGACAGCCATATTAACCTTGCTCAAGGCCAAAATAGTTGAATAACTAATCAACTGGAACCACCTATGTACAACAATAAAAACAGCTGTCGTTAGAGAAGATTTGTCTTCTCTCTCCTCTTCCGCATCAAATTTTATTCCACAACTAACGTTTCGATTCAAAACATTTAGAGAATTTGACACCTTCATTTTGTTAAAATGGTGTTAGACTGTAAAAGATCCACATTTAATTTAGACGCAAATTGCAGCTCAAATTTGCCTTCTTCACAAAAATCTTTAATGGGATGCACGTCAACCAAATCAGAAGTTAGTTCATATTTTTCAACAAAATCATTTGGTAATTGAATGATTTTGTTTTGTACCCAACATTGCTTTATATTATTAATAAATGTGACCCATCTGCTAAAAAGTAAATTTTTTCGTCATTAATTGTAATTTTTTGTTTGGCATTTTCTTCAAGCTTTTATTCCGAGGGTTCTCCACATAGCTTGATTCGCCGATACCATATCTAAGGTTGTAGAATGAACCTTCAAACCAATTGCACTGATTTTCTTAAAAACTTCTTTAAGAACATCAGCTAGAACTGCCCCATTCATACTGTCTCCAGTGAAATAGTATGAAAGAATTTGTTTCCAGCGAGTAGTAACACCTCCCACAAGAATTACCAACGCTTTTGTCGCTACTCCCTCATGTTTTGGTAAAGTAATTCCCCCAATATACGTCCCACTATGTACACAATAATAAATCGCAGCTTTTATATCCATTTCCCTCCCAAAATCCTGATTAAGCGATTCACATTTACTTTTCAAAAACCCTATAATTTCATCCAAAACTCCAGATTTAAACTCTAAATTTTGTAAAAGAAAATTCAATGTTGGAATAGCTGGAAAAAGCTTTGTTAATATGTTTGCTAAATTTTTCCTTAAATTTGCAATACATACTTTTTGCAAGTATAATTTCTGGCTTAATTTTTTGTTACTAATTTTTAACATTCTAACTTTTTTTCTTAACGTATCATTTTTTTTTCTGGAGCGTTACATAGTCAGGTGGTTGTTTTATAGTGCACGAAAATATGGCTTTTGTGGAATAACTTTAAAGAACATTCCATTCTCAGATCTATTTTTCCAACCTTTTACGCTGCAGCCGGTCATCGTTCAAATTTCTACTTGACGAACGGTTATGAATTTCAAATTGACAACATTAAAATAAAATTTCTTTTAAATAGGCCGTGGAAAAAATGATCCACCAATAAAAATGAATCACACTCTTTGCCTTACTCTTCTCATAATTATTATCTTGGCAACTACATACATAAAGAAGGAAATAACAGTGGAAAAATTGTACTATTTATTACCAAGTAGTGTAAAATGATTCGAAGCAAGATTGCGCGTAGTTCAGGTCCGGTCTCGCCACAATTGTGTCCTCAAACATGAAAATGAAAAGAGATACACATGACGTATCTGCTGTTAAGAAGGAAATAACTCACCGGGGGATCTCCGCCCCCTAGCCCACTTTTTGTTGATTAGTGATCTCAACCCTTCTTCAGTATTGTCCTAAGAATTTTTGATGACTTCCTTCTTTCGAGTCCAGGTATTGCACCCTCCTGGCATAGTGATCCACGTGGCTGGAATTATACAAATGTGTAGAACAATTTCATTTTTTTGCTATATACTTCCCTGTTTAACGACGATGTCCAGGCCAGATTTACCTAGAAGGGTGACCACAAGGACATGACACAAATTTACAATAACAATAATAAATAAATACATAAATAAATAAATAAGTAAATAAATCAATAAATAAATAAATAAATAAATAAATACATAAATACGCTGTAATAATGTTGTACTTTCAGTTGTTCTAAAACCAGGCACCCCAGGGTTAATTTAAAACAATACCCTGGGTGGTTTTATTATTCAAGTACAAAATTACCTAACATTATTAAACTACATGAGTACTAACAGCTACATAATGTTGATACAAATGTTTGCGTGTGTAAAATACACACAATACAATGAAAGAACATATGCCTACTATTATCATTAGTATTGTAATTTGTCTCTGGTCTGTAATAATAATATTAATATTAATAATAATAAAAATTGGTCGAAGGTTTTTTTCGACAGAACTTCCCTCGCCCCTGAAGTGCAGTCCCACAAATCCCGCTGGTTTGCAACATTTACAATTAAAAATTATCTCTATAAAGTAAAACCAGTGGCGTAAATAACTCTCAATTTTTTTTTGTTTCTGCAGTTTTCGATTGCAATTTTTCACTTTTTCGTTTCGATTTTTTATTTTCTTTATTTTTTTATTACTCAGGTTTTCAGGGTTTCGATTTTATATTTTTGTTAATTATATTTTAATTTTTTCAGTTTTCGTTTCCTGAGTTCCTAGATTTGGCAAATTTTCGATTGAAAATTTGTCGAGTTTACAATTTTTAATTTTTCAATTATTTGATTTTTTAATTTTTCGTTTTGATTTTTTATTTTCTTTATTTTTTCAATTATTCAATTTTTCAATGTTTTGTTTCATATTTTTTGTTTTTTAAATTTTAATTTTTCAGTTTTCAGTTTTCGTTTCCTCAGTTCCTAGATTTTGCTATTTTTCGATTTAAAATTTCTCGAGTTTACAAATTTTAATTTTTCAATTTTTTGATTCTTTAATTTTTGGTTTCAATTTTTTTATTTTCTTTAATTTTTCAATTACGTATTCAATTTTTCAATGTTTCTATTATATATGTATTTTGAATTCAAATTTTTTCAATTTTTTTTGTTTCTTCAATTTTGCGATATGCAACTCTTTGACTTTTCATTTATAAATTTTTCAGTTTTTCAATTTTTTGATTTGCAAGTTCACGAAATTTCGATTTTTTATTTTTCAATTTCTCAGTGTTTCGATTTCATATTTTTTGTTGTTTAAATTTTAATTGTGCAGTTTTCGTTTCTTCAGTTTCTAGATTTTGCAATTTTTTTATTCTGTAATTTTTGGTTTCGAGTTTTTCATTTTCTTTATTTTTTCAATTATTCAATCTTTCAATGTTTCGATTTTATATTATGGTTTTTTAAATCGTTTCTTCGGTTTCTAGATTTTGCAATTTACCGATTTAAAATTTCTCGAGTTTTCAATTTTTATTTTTGAATTTTTTGATTCTTTAATTTTTCATTTCTTCAAATTTTCGATTGAAATTTTTCGTTTCGGTTTTTATTTCCTTTATTTTTATAATTTTTCGATTTTTGAATGTTCCGATTTTACAATTTTTTGTTTTTTCAATTTCAATGTTTTCAATTTTTCCTTGCATGAACTTTTGGATTGCAATTTTTCAATTTTTCATTTTTTTTGTTTCTTCAATTTTACGATATGCGACTTCGAATTTTCATTTAAAAATGTTTCAGTTTTTGATTTCCCAACTTTTGGGTGCTTCAATTTTTAGATTTTACAATTTTTCGATTTTTCAGTTTTTCATACCTTCAATTTTTCGATTTGCAATTTTTTGTTTCGATTTTTTATTTTCTTTATTTTTTTGATGACTCAATTTTTCAGTTTCGATTTTATATTTTTTGTTTTTTAAATTTTAATTTTTCAGTTTTCGATTCTTCAGTTTTCGATTCCTCAGTTCCTAGATTTTGCCATTTTTCGATTTAAAATTTCTCGAGTTTTCAATTTTTTATTCTTTAATTTTTCATTTCTTCAAATCTTCGAGTTGCAATTTTTTTATTCCGTTTTTTTTTTCTCTATTTTTACAATTTTTCGATTTTTCATTGTTTCGATTTTTATATATTTTTTCAATTTAAATTTTTTCAATTTTTCATTTTCTTTGTTTCTTCAATTTTACGATAAGCAACTCTTTGAATTTTCATTTATAAATTTTTCAGTTTTTCGATTTTCCAACTTTTGAGTGTTTCAATTTTTAGATTTTGTAATTCTTCGATTTGCAGTTTCACGAAATTTCAATTTTTTATTGTTCAATTTTTCGATTTTTTATTCTTCTCACTTTTTTAAATACTCAGTTTTTCAGTGTTTCGATTTGATATTTTTGTTGTTGTTTAAATTTTAATTGTGCAGTTTTTCGTTTCTACAGTTTCTAGATTTTGCAATTTTTCGATTTAAAATTTCTCCAGTTTTTAATTTTTCATTTTAAAATTTTTTTTATTCCTTAATTTTTCGTTTCAAGTATTGATTTTCTTTATTTTTTGAATTATTCAGTTTTTCAATGTTTTGATTTTATATTTTTGTTTTTTAAGTTTTAATTTTTCAATTTTTGTTTCCTCAGTTCCTAGATTTTTGGGTTTAACTCGAGTTTACAATTTTTATTTTTTTTTTTATAATTTTTTAATTTTTCAATTTTTTGATTGTTTAATTTTTCGTTTCGATTTTTTATTTTCTTTATTTTTTCAACTATTCAATTTTTCAATGTTTTGATTTTATATTTTGGTTTTTTAAATCGTTTCTTCAGTTTTTAGATTTTGCAATTTTCCGATTTAAAATTTCTCGAGTTTTCAATTTTGAATTTTTCATTTTTGTTTTTATTCTTTAATTTTTCGTTTCGAGTATTGATTTTCTTTATTTTTTCAATTATTCAATTTTTCAATGTTTGGATTTTATGTTTTGGTTTTTTAAATCGTTTCTTCAATTTTTAGATTCTGCAATTTTTCGTTTTAAAATTTTTCAAGTTTTCAATTTTTAATTTAAAATTTTTTTTATTCTTTAATTTTTCGTTTCGAGTATTGATTTTATTTATTTTTTTAATTATTCAATCTTCCAATGTTTCGATTTTATATTATGGTTTTTTAAATCGTTTCTTCAGTTTCTAGATTTTGCAATTTTCCGATTTAAAATTTCTCATGGTTACAATTTTTCATTTTTCAATTATTCAATTTTTCAATATTTCGATTTTATAGTTTCTCTTTCATCAATTTCAATTTTTTTAATTTTTCGTTTCTTGAACTTTTGGATTGCAATTTTTTAATTCAATTTTTTTTTTGTTTCTTCAGTTTTACGATATGCAACTCTTCGAATTTTCAATTATAAATTTTTCAGTTTTGCGATTTCCCAACTGTTACAAGTTTAGATTTTGCGATTTTTCGACTGGCAATTTCACGAGTTTTCATTTTTTAATTTTTCGATTTTTCAGTTTTTCGTGTCTTCAATTTTTCGATTTGCAATTTTACGTTTCGGTTTATTTTCTTTATTTTTTCAATTTTTCGGATTTTCGGTGTTCTGATTTTATAATTATTCCTTTTTTTGAATGTAAAATTTTTCTATTTGTGGATTTCCCAATTTTTCGATTTGCGATTTTCCGGTTTTGGTTCTTAATTTTACGAATTTTCAATTTTTTGTGTTTTTAATTTTTCATTTTTTCAGTTTTTCAATTTTCCAATTTTTCGTTTCTTCAATTTTTCTAGTTTTCATTTTAAATGTTCATATTTTTCAACTTTACAATTTTGAAGATTTAGTAATTTTTCCATTCTATACATAATACATATAATATTTGGCTTTTCCAATTTTTCGATTAGATTCGCCTTCTTTCATTTTTTCGATTCATAATTTTTTTTTTTTCGATTTTTAAGTTTCCAGATTTTTAGTTTTTCAGTGTTTTTCGATTTTCCACTTTATCGGTTTTGCAATTTTTCCTTTTTTCTGATTTCGATTTCTCAACTTTTCGAATCAAAAAAATGGAAAAATTGAAAAATGAAAAAAACGAAAATGTATAGAATGCAAACTTTGAAAAATCTGAAATTGAAAATCAAGAACTTGAAGAACTGAGGGAACGAAAAATTCAAAAATCGAAAGAATTGAGAAACTTAAAAATCGGAAAATCGTATAGCTGAAAATTCAAAAACTGCCAAATTGAAAAATTTCAAAAATTCAAAAACTGCCAAATTGAAAATTTTTAAAAATGGAAAACCGAGAAATTAAATATAGGGCTTAAAAATTTTGAACAATTGATTAAACGAAAAATAAAAACATCGAATGAAACATTGTAAAAAAAAGGAAATGAAAAAACCAAAAATTGTGATATAAAATTGAAAAATGTTACACAATTTAATTAGCGTTTAACCATCTGCATACGTACAAAATTTGACAACATTGGGCCCAGTAGTTTCGGAGATTATAGAGATATATAGTCTAATAAAAATCGACACAGACGCCAGACAGACAGACAGACGGAAACGAAATACCACTTTAAAGCTTACTTACGTAAACACTTCCCGCTTTTTTTATCGCAGTTTCCACATTCGGTACAGTTACGCTTGCAGTCCAGTCCCCAGTTTCCATCCTTGCAGTCTAAAGCAAAAATAAATTAAAAATTCACAATATTGAATTATAAAGCGTCGAAAAACTACCTTCGGTACAATTTTTTCCAGTGTGTCCCCAAGGGCAGACGCATGTTTCGTTCGTACATAATTGGTGGCCCTCACAGTTCGGATAATTTGGTCCCAAAATTTCCGAGCAATTAGTTTGACAATCCCTACCCAATTTTCCCGGTTCTTCGCAGAAGACAATATCATTATTATTATTATTTCTGGGTGGATTTGCGTCTTCGTTTAAAGTATGACATGTGTAGTTGTTGGTTGATGGGTTTGCTATATATAGCGCTGAAAGTAGAGTGGTACATTAGTTAAAGTAGAGTCCGCCAAATAGTGTCCGTGTTCACTATTTATCGGACTGTACTTTACGTACCAAAGTCAGGGAGACAAAATGATACATCGAAGTCCCAAAATCCGTCGGTGGTATTATTATCTGTTTTTCTTCTGAAAAAGGTAATTTTGTCGTGTTCTTTGAATTCTTTTTTCAGTATATCACTTTGCCACGTTTTCATTGTGGTGGAGTTAGTGTTTGAAGTAATGTTAATAATGTTCACACCGTTATGAAAAACTGCCAAATAACAAGTTGGACACAAGATTGTATATATAGCTAGACATGATGCCTCGTTATTCAGGGTTAGTGTGGTTGGTTTGTCTTTAGTTACCTTAAAAATGTATTTGGTGTTCTATTTAAATTGATTAAAAATACTCACAGTCGTGCAATTTCCATAGTATATCTTGTTTACTTATTATTTTGACGTCAGTAACTTGGTCGACTGGTAAGTTCCACGATTTTAATGGCTCGGTCTTCCCGTTTTCGTATAATTTTAAACAATTCTTTTCCCACACAAATGTATAATGTAACCATTGGTTGGTGCTTCTTGAAACTTTGAATTTAGGCGATTCCTTAAAATCCAGTTCCGTGACAATAAAAAGTTTGATTTTAAAAGGCGCAAAGATGGACAAAGACGTGGTTCGAAATGGCTCAAGGATAATCGTTTTGGTTTGTTTGATGTCAAAATCTGAAACGAATTTTGTTGGTGACGCAAAGATTGCGAAATCGGGTGTGATAAGATAATATATAATAATAATTCTTAAATTTGGACTTACATGTCCACCTCATGTCCACCACAGGCCCTATGGAAGATGTTGAACTCTTTGTAATGTTCCAGTCGCCTGTCCAGTTTCCCATTTTTGAAAAATCTACCCAAGTTTTGCTTTCATTGGTGGGTGGGGTTACGTAGGGCGTGGCTTCGAGGGCGGGGCAATAAATGTGGGTTTTATTTCGTAACCAGGAAGATGCGGAAGTCGTCGTAACACATAGCACACTGTACAAGATTACAATATTAAACAGTTTCATTGTTGGAATTTTTGGCTATACTCTCTGGAAGTGCTACGTTACTTTTATGTAATAAGATGATTTCGGGTCGTCGTTATCTTATCACTTTATCAGACCCTTACGAATCGTTGATAAAAAGACGAGGTAGGTTAAAAAAAACTTACTAAAAATCGATTTTGCCTTTTTTTCCACGGTTTCCTTTTTTTTTATAAAATCAGCAGGGGCTTTTTTCCAAAATGAAAATATCGGGGCCTTCTAGATTCTTTTATACTCATTAAACAAAACAACACTGAATCCAAGATTTTTTCAAATTGTTTCAAAATTAGAACATCGGAGATGTCCAAGATTCCTTAAAATTCTTTCAAAAAAGTCACTATGAACCCCAACATTTTTTTATTGTTTTATTTTTTACGGCAGGGGCCCCAGGATTCCCTAAAATTTTTTCAAATTCGTTTTTTTTTTCACCAATATAATTTTTAAAATTCCTTATAAAAACCAGGGGCTCCATAATACGTTCAAAAAACACTTAAATAAAAGTGGTGTTTCCATAAAAAAAATTTTTTTATGGAAACACCAGGGTCCTCCAAGATTATTTTAAATTGTTTCAGAATCAGAACACCAGAGATCACCAAGATTCCCTGAAATTCTTTAAAATTCTTTCAAAAACGTCATTAGAAACTCCAAAATTTTGAATTATTTTTTTCATGAAAACGGCAGAGGTTCACGATATTTTTTCAAATTCTTTGTACAACTCCAGGGGTTCCAGTTTCTTTCAAACTCTTAAAAATACTAGGACCCCCAAGATTATTTTAAATTCTTAAAAAAAAATACGCCAGGGACTTTAAGATTCTCTCAATTTTTTTCAGAATGAAAACACCAGAGTCCACCAATATTCTTTTAAATTCCTAAAAATTATTTCTGAAACGTCACTATGAACTCCAACATTTTTTAATTAATATATATATTTTTTTTTACATAAAGAGCAGGGACCTCAATATTTTTTTAAATTCGTTTTAAAAACCAGGGTTTCCTGATGCTTTCATTGCTTAAAAGAGACACTGGGACTCACACCACAGACACCAATTCTTTCAGTCTTTCAAAAACGTCATCAGGAACCCCAACATTATGATTTTTTTTTTTTTATTATTTCAAGTTCTTTCTAAACTCCAAGGGGTCCTAGATTGTTTCAAATTCTTTAAAAAAACATTGGGACCCCCTAGATTCTTTTAAATTCATAAAAAAAATACGGCAGGGACCCCAACATTTTTTTTTTTTTTGAAAACAGCAAGGGTTCACAATATTTTTTCAAATTCGTTCTAAAAACCAGGGGTTTCCTGATTCTTTCAATGCTTAAAAAAACATTAGAAGCCCCAATATTTTTTTAAATTCTAAAAAAACACCCTAGAGATTCAAAGATTCTCTACAATTTTTTTAAATGAAAACACCAAGGGCCTCCAAGATCTTTTTTAATTATTTCAAAATCAGAACACCAGAGGTCCCCAAGATTTCTTGAAATTCTTTCAAATTCTTTCAAAAACGCCATCAAGAACTTCAACATTTTTCGATTTAAAATTTTCACATTTTTCGGTTTCAAATTTTCACATTTTTCGATTTTTAAATTTGTAGTACTTCAATTTTACGGTTTCTTAAGTTTTCAGTTTTTGGATTTGGAAAATTTTTGGATTTTTCGATTTCTCATTTTTTCAAATTTGTGATTTCCCAATCTTTTAACTTTTTCTTTCAATTTCTGATTTTTTTTCGATTTTTCGATATTTTATTTTTTCGATTTTTTAAATTTTAGATATTTCAATTTTATTGTTGTTTCGATTCCTCGATATTTCGGTTTCTCAATTTTCCGATATTTTCGTTTTACGATTTTCCAGTTCTTGGTGTTTTTAAATTTTCGAATTCACGATTATTCAACTTTTCGATGTTTCTATTGCTCTTAATTTCTCGATTTTTTAGTTTTTCAATTTTTGAATTTTTCGATTTTTGAGGTTTTCGATCTTTCAATTTTTCGATTCTTCAATTTGTTGATATTTTTTAATTTTTTGATGTTTCGGTCTTTCAATTTTTCGATTTTTTTAATTTTTGATTTTTCGATTTTTTATTTCTCGTTTTTTCAATTTTTAGATATTTCAATTTTTTTTTGTTTCGATTCCTGGATATTTCGGTTTTTCGATTCTTCAATTTCTCGATTTTTATTTTTCGGTTTCTCAATTTTCCGATATTTCCGTTTTTTTCAGTTTTTCGATATTTTAATTTTTGATGATTCTAAATTTTCGAATTAGCGATTTTCCCTTTTTTTTATTTTTCCGTTTCCCGATTTCTCGACTTTTCGATGTTTCAATTTTTGATTATTTCGTTTGACGTTTTCGATCTTTCAATTTTTCCGTTCTTCAATTTGTTGACATTTTAGATTTTGTAATTTTTTGATGTTTCGGTCTTCAAATTTTTCGATTTTTTAATTTTTGTATTTTGCGACTTTTCGATTTTTTGATTTCACGATTTTTGAAGTTTTTGATTTCCCAATTTTTCAAGTTTTCAATTTTGGGAGTTTTCCTTTCAATTTTTGAAATTTTCAATTTTTCGATATATTAATTTTTCGAATTTTCAAATTTTAGATATTTCAATGTTTTTGTTTCGATTCCTGGATATTTTCGATTTTTTGTTTTTCGGTTTCTCAATTTTTCGATATTTCCGTTTTACGATGTTTCAGTTTTTCGATGTTTTAATGTTTCTAAATTTTCGAATTCTCCATTAATCGATTTCTTTTTTTTTATTTTTCCGTTTCTCGAGTTTTCGATTTGTCAGTTTTCCAGTCCATGAACTTTTCGATTTTTTAGGTTTTCGATTTTTCAATTTTTCGATTCTTGAATTTGGCCACATTTTAGATTTTGTAATTTTTTGGTGATTCGATCTTCAAATTTTTCGATTTTTTAATTTTTGGATTTTTCAATTTTTCGATTTCTAGATTTATCGAGATTTCGATGTTTCGATTTTTCGATTGTTCAATTTCGGTTTTTAATTTTTTTGATTTTTCGATTTTTATTTCAAAATCAGAACACCGGATGTCCCCAAGATTTCTTGAAATTCTTTCAAGTTCTTTCAAAAACGTCATCAAGAACTCCAACATTTTTCAATTTCAAATTTTCAGTTTTCGATGTTTGATTTAGCGATTTTTAAATTTGTAGTGAGTACTTCAATTTTACGGTTTATTGAGTTTTCGGTTTTTGTTTTCGGAAATTTTTGGATTTTTCGATTTCTCAATTTTTCAAGTTTTTCATTTCCCAATTTTTCTTTCAATTTCTGATTTTTTTCGATTTTTCGATATTTTGATTTTTCGATTTTTTAAATTTTGGATATTTCAATTCTATTGTTGTTTCGATTCCTCGATATTTCGGTTTTTCGAGTCTTCAATTTCTCGATTTTTTTAATTTTCGATTTTTTATTTTTCGGTTTCTCAATTTTCCGATATTTTCGTTTTACGATTTTTCAGCTTTTGGTGTTTTAAAATTTTCGAATTCTCGATTATTCGACTTTTCGATGTTTCTATTGCTTGACGTCTAAATTTCTCGATTTTTCAGTTTTTCAATTTTTGAATTTTTCATTTTTTGAGGTTTTCGGTCTTTCAATTTTTCGATTCTTCAATTTGTTGATATTTTTTAATTTTTTGATGTTTCGGTCTTTCAATTTTTCGATTTTTTTAATTTTAGATTTTTCGATTTTTTTATTTCTCGTTTTTCCAAATTTTAGATATTTAAATTTTTTTGATGTTTCGATTCCTGGATATTTCGGCTTTTCGAGTCTTCAATTTCTCGATTTTTTATTTTTCGCTTTCTCAATTTTCCGATATATCCGTTTTACGATTTTTCAGTTTTTCGATATTTTAATTTTTGATGTTTCTAAATTTTCGAATTATCGATTTTTCCTTTTTTTTATTTTTCCGTTTCCCGATTTCTCGACTTTTCGATGTTTCTATTCCTCGACGTATCAATTTCTCGATTTTTCAGTTTTTCAATTTTTGAATTTTTCGTTTTTTGAGGTTTTCGGTCTTTCAATTTTTCCGTTCTTCAATTTGTTGATATTTTAGATTTTGTAATTTTTTGATGTCTCGGTCTTCAAATTTTTCGATTTTTTAATTTTTGTATTTTGCGACTTTTCGATTTTTGAAGTTTTTGATTTCCTAATTTTTCAAGTTTTCAATTTTGGGAGTTTTTCTTTCAATTTCTGAATTTTTAAATTTTTCGATATATTAATTTTTTGAATATTCAAATTTTAGATATTTCAATTTTCTTGTTTCGATTCCTGGATATTTTCCATTTTTTATTTTTCGGGTTCTCAATTTTTCAATATTTGCGTTTTACGATTTTTCAGTTTTTCGATGTTTTAATGTTTCTAAATTTTCGAATTCTCGATTAATCGATTTCTTTTACTTTTTTTATTTTTCCGTTTCTCGATTTTTCGATTTGTCAGTTTTCCAGTTCATTAACTTTTCGGAACTTTTAGGTTTGCGATTTTTCAATTTTTCGATTCTTGAATTTGTCTACATTTTAGATTTTGTAATTTTTTGATGATTTGATCTTTAAATTTTCCGCTTTTTTAATTTTTGGATTTTTCAATTTTTCGATTTCTAGATTGTTCAATTTCGGTTTTTAATTTTTTTGATTTTTCGATTTTTATTTCAAAATCAGAACACCAGAGGTCTCCAAGATTTCTTGAAATTCTTTCAAATTCTTTCAAAAACGTCATCAAGAACTCTAATATTTTTGTAAAATTTTCACATTTTTCGATTTAAAATTTTCACATTTTTCGATGTTTGATTTAGCGATTTTTAAATTTATAGTACTTCAATTTTATGGTTTCTTGAGTTTTCCGTTTTTGATTTTGAAAACTTTTGGATTTTTCGATTTCTCAATTTTTCAAGTTTTTGATTTCCCAATTTTTCAACTTTTTCTTTCAATTTCTGATTTTTTCGATTTTTCGATATTTTAATTTTTCGAATTTTTAAATTTTAGATATTTCAATTGTATTATTGTTTCGATTCCTCGAAATTTCGGTTTTTCGATTCTTCAATTTCTCGATTT